GAATAAAAATTCAATCTGTAATTAATTATCGAGATATAGATATATTTTTGTATAGCCCGTGGTTACGAAGCAATAATCAAAATGACAGCACGAGATATGTTAACGGAATGCGATCTAAATTTTATTAATCAGGTAGAAATATCAGAAGACTGATTAAAGCTATTAAAACTTTATTCAGAAAAATATTTGAGACGCTATTTATTAATACTTGGTTATGATATTAAAAACAAAGACCAATGGGAAAACTTCATATTCCATGTTAAAAATAATTTATACATAAGGAAACAAATAGCATATAATTTAGAATTTAGAGAATTTAAAAAACAATTAGCCGAAATAATAATAAAAGCATAATAAAAATTCTCTATTATCAGATATAATTATATTTATCTAATGTAAGAAAGCAAGTCGGCCTATGCATCTGTCATATTTATTTTTTTGGCTAGAGATATATAATATATAATATAAAATATTACTATGGAAGCAAAAATAGTTAAAGCTAAAGTAGGAGAGCAAAAAGTTAATTGTCACCTCGAACCAATATTTCACGGTCTATCGATATGTAGAGACAAGTTTCTCAAGAAAATCAGTAGGAAAATTAGTAGAAAGTTGACTCCTAAAGATAAAGATAGCAAATTCTTTAGAGAGATAACTACACACCCGATTGGATGGACTATAATCCCACTCACATTTACCTCTAACATAAAAAATAATGCTCGTCTTAGTAATAAAAATCCATTATCATATCAACTGAAGTATTCGTAGTAAAATATAACCTTAAATTACCTAATTATATATTGCTTGGTAATATTTGATTTTATGGTCAAAAATATTATGATGAACTTCAAACATACATACCTGAAATTGTAACCAACACAGAGGATGCCTGAGTAAGAACTACATTACGTATTTAAAATCTCGTTGAAAAGAAAGAGAGGAAGGTTATAGTGCGTGTTACTGAAAATAATGTTGATGAATTCTATGAATTCGCTTCTTCTAACTCTGATGATGCAGAGCATCGAACCTTTGGTTCTTCTGATATCTCTGATACAAGTGGTTCTTCTACATTTAGTTTAGAATCAGATGATAAGTAGTGTGTAAGGCTGTTATATGTCCGAAATGATGTTACAGAGTAAAAAAGAAAAAATAATTATCGAGTTATATAAAGTGATACCATATGATAATTTTTCATTTAACAAATTATATTAACCTAATGTAGAAAAACAAGCCAGCCTACTCATCTACTATATTTAATTTTTTCACTGGCTCTATCAATTAAACAAAGATAAACATTTTTTTTTGGCTATATATATATTATTCAAAAATGGAATGTAACAAAAAGCAATCAACTAATATTAAACTACATAAAGATACCTCTATTATGATCGATGAAATAGGATTACATATAAATCTTATTTATTTGAGATTAAAAGCAGTCGAGTCTGAGCTAGGAGATAGAAAGGTAAAATGTAAGTGTGAATTATCAGAATTTGAGACTGATAATAGTGATACATCGGATTCAAATTGTTCTGATATTTTATCCAATATTGTTTCAATAAAAAAGATACATGAGTCTAAAGACCTCAGCTCTATCTATTCTAAACCTAAAAAGAAGTGAAATAAGAACAAGGTATATAATTGTACAAAGGTACGTAAAGTAGTCTCAACACATAAATTGATTGTATAATAAACTGCAATCACGATTATCCAATTTTTTATTCATATATTTGAGATAACGTGAATACAGAGGAATAAGCACTTTACAGGTTAGATCCACATATTTTTTGTATGACCCAATTTCTCATATATATCCTCATTCATCGTTTTTTGATTAATTTCATGTTTTTCGCTGATCATAAATTTCACTAAAAATGAATAAATTTACCTATCTTTGACACTATTTTAGATGTAATACTATTTTGAGTTGGGACGCATAAATAATTCAAACGATATGTAAACAGGTATATAATGAAAGATATGTATTTTTATTGTTCAAAGCATAGATAAAACTTATATTATAGTATTTGCAAAAAACGTTCTCAGTGCAATTCTGAAAATTCTAAATTATAACATTGAAGTATTAAAACTGGATCCATACCAGTTATGTGAACAAGAGTTTATTCCACACCCCGCAAGTAATATCAAAGAATTTACCTTGACCAGTTGTGAGCATATCTATCATCAAAAGTGCCTCGAATACTATTTGCTAACTGTGAAAACGAGATGTCCGAATATGGGATACAGATACAAAGATATCGAAACCTCCCTCACTTCGGCTATTAATGAGACAGGGTCGCAGGATCCAATGGAAATATCACCACAAATCTCTATGATAGCTTCACAGAAGGACTCAACTAGCATTATCATCAGGAAATTTAATTAGGCGTCGATTTACGGAATATCACATGACTTCCAGAAATTTTCACCTGAAAAATTTGATTTTTTAACTTTGGCTGAGATTTAAGTGACAGGGAGCGATTTTCTACTAAAATATTTCTAAGATAGATCGAAAGCCCTGGTTTTTGGCTACAAGATGATATGTGTTTCATTACTATAGCATCGATATT